TAGTAAATGGTTTAAAGCCAGACTATTGCAGATAAAGGAAAAAAAAACTGATTCCGGAATCCTCTAGAAACTGAATTGAAAACATGCTACATCAGTATGAACCTCAAGACTGATGTTAAGCAAACAAGGCTTCCGCTTTTGTTCCGTCGTTATGGATAACAGGAGGACATAAAATTGTTTCCCTTCGGTTTCCCGTTTTTTTTTGTTTCGTTTCTCTGTGAAAACCTGCAATCGAAGCCCCCACCCCATAACAACGTTGGTCTTTAGCAAGGGAACATGTTACAAAAGGTTGAGTTCGCAGTTAAGGAAATACTAGAGTGTTCCAATTTAGGGTTCTGACTTAGTTTAGGTTTACAAAAATACCCTAGAAGATAGATGATACTGGCTTTAGCGTGTGTGAAAAAGAAAGTTGCTAGAAACTTTTTTGGTTTATCAAAAGCATTGTAGACATTGTAAAGCAAAACCTTGGCAGCCACGAAATTAGTTATAAAGCTCTCTGGTAGATTAAGTCGCACTTCAATGTATCGGCAGGTCGCTTCAGCCACGAGACCTTGGAACTTCAAGGGAAAATATACGTTGTTGGAGGAGTTTTAGAAAGAAATGGTCAAGAGCAAACGATGGACTGCTATGATCACGTGACAGACAAGTGGACTTCACTTTCTGCACCCCGTCAGAATCGTCATTCTCACTGTTCAATGTCACTAAATGGCTACCTTTATGTGATTGGAGGTAAGCTTATGGCATTTTTGTTAAAAAACTTATTAGGTAACCAGAGGAGCCCGCAATCCTGATCTCCAGGTTACTACTACGCATGCGCGGTAAATATGTCACCAGTTTGGATTTCCTATTAGAATAAATGGAATGCGCAGAACACATCTGATTACGCGCTATTGCACCTTCTATCACGTGAAACCCACGCAAATCACAGCGTTTGACCTTCTTTCGATCTCGCACGCATTCTGTAACCTTTGGTTATTACTAGTTTCCTAGACCAGTTAACGTACAATGACATTGTATCGCCCATGTAAAGGAATCAAAGACATTCTGGGATTCTGAATTCACGCCGTGGATTTCGGATTCCAGGTAGCGTGAATTCTGGTTTCCAAATTCTGGATTACGGAATCCGAATTCCCTTACATGGAGAGAATCGTAGCCAGTCACTATCAAAGATCTGAAGCCTCATATTTACGTGTTAACGGATTTACTCAAGACTTGTACCTACTACTTCTGACAGTCTTTTTACCACTGTACAATCTCTGTAGGAATCTCCAAAAACAACAACGTTCTTAAGACAGTGGAAAGGTATGATCCTCAACACCACAAATGGCACAACGTGGCGAACCTCAACATCCCGCGGAGTGGAGCATGCGCAGTAGTACTGATGGGTCAAATCTTCGTGATGGGTGGTGGTTCAGACGTTCGTAACATTCTAAATTCCTGTGAGATTTACGACCCTGGAGTAGATAGATGGTTTATCGGGAAAGGTGAGTCCTATCAGCTTTCCTTTTTTTTCAAGGGCTAACAACACGCATCAATAAACATGATGAACTGTAACTATATATAGTATATCTTTTGTTTTTTTGTTATCTTGTCTTTTTAAGTAGCCACACCATACCACGTCATATTATGTAATTTCCGGTCATTATTTTACTTCATATATATTTCTGTAAATTCGTGATATCTCAATAAACCTGATGAAGACTAGTATTGGCCAGTCGAAATATCGCAACTTATAACCCTATTTGTGAAAGGTTTGAACCCAGGAGTCACTTCAAAAGGTTGAGTTTGATCGTCCGGGTGAACGTAGTCCTGAATAACCCTATTTCACGTTGTTTGATCAGTCCCTGCAAAAGTCTTCTTGACTGTAACGTTTTCAACGCGCATCAGTTTGATCCGCGTCGCTGAAACACCCGGAGGGTACTCCCTATAATGACCTACACGGGGATGCTCAGCCCGAAAGGGGTACCTTTCTCAAGCTTCAGATGAAAGGGTCGGGATTTCGTTAGTTGAAGTATTGGAAAGGGTAGGGAATCCGTCATTTCGGTCTTTAAAAGGACCAAAAAGGGCTAACAGACGCATTTGAGGGACGTGAAAGAGACAAGAAAACTTCGTGGTTTAGTGATTTATCCACGTTAAAAAGACGTGCAAAGTTCTAAACTAGGTAAGTGAAACGGGTGCCATTTTTAAGTCGCAGGTTTAGGAAAGGAGCACATTTTCTGTCCACATTTGTATACAAAAGGGTGAGGGGTTGGACCAGGGGGCGGAGCCGCCCCGTATAAAACGTTGTCGAGTGCCGCACGTAGCGCACGTCGTCGTTGTCATTTTTAGCCTCAAGCTTATTATTCTTTTGTTTTTCAGATATGCATACTAAACGTGATCTCGCTGGGGCCACGGTCTTTGGTGGAAGAATCTACGTGTTTGGTGGTTCATATGGTAACGTGGCTGTGACGTCAGTGGAGTGTTATGACCCCCGTGAAGATGGTTGGTCCGTTATAACTGAGCTGCCGTACCCACGATATGGATTTCGGTGCGCAACAACTGCTGTCACAAACGACATGATAGCAGACGTGCCTCCTGCGAAACCAAAAGCACGAAACCAAGAAAAATTGATTTAGAAAGTTACGACATTGCATTGCACACGAATGAGTTAAAAATTCTGGTTTAATTAATTAGCCTTTTGGTATCGTTGCTGCTTGACTTAGACTGATAACAGGCCATCCAGAGATCGCCAAGAGTAACAGCTGCCGACGATTTATTCGAACCGAGATAACCGATTCACGACTCTTACAATGACTCAAATACTTTCACCATTCAATCACGTTAAGAGTCTGTACGGACAGTAGAGAGATTTAGAATCACGGTTAATGCAGACGGCAAACGGCAGATTCGTGTTGCGATTTCTCGCATTAGGAAATGAGTGTATAAAAACTGTTCAAAAGAATTGCTACGGATGAATCTGACATGAAAATGCTTATTTTTGAGTAGAAACTGTTAACTCTCGCCTTGCGAACACCCCTGTAATACGGAGAGCAGCTAAATCCCAAAGCAAAAATAAATTAAAGATGTTTGACTGAAAAACAACTCCCGCTATTACGGATTCTCGCTAATGTGGACACTGACTCAAGGTCCCTACAGTACGGTGTCTGCTATAAAAGGAATTGACTGAAATTACAATGAATAGTAGAAGAAATGTAAAGGGATACATAACTTGACCACAAAGGGCAAATTGGTTTTTTTCGTTTGTCCTGAATGTGATTCTAAAGCCTGTTCTAAAACTCTCTAATAACATCACGACTTAACCGACAGAGAGCCCCAATATACACATACAAATTCTCCGAACTGAACTCCATACATTTCTTTAAAGAATGTGTTGAGAGAATTTCATAAAAGATCAATGCAATTTCACTTTGGTGATCATTTTACCAATTCTCATAACCATATCTCTTGAAAGTGTATGGACATCGTTAGGAGAAAATTGGTGTTGGTCGTCACCATTGGGACTTAAAGGGTTAATGAGGTCACGACGTAGTTGACCTATAAAACAAATAAAAATATTCTTTGAGCTTAGAAAGTTGGAAAAGGAAAACAGAGTGAACGACAGAAGACCTGCAAAAACCTTCAGAGAGTGCACTGCACCAAACCAAGCCTCTACCCACAAAGAGAAGCAGAGTGGCAACTGGAGTAGCATACTGCATCGACTCAAACTTTTGTTTACTTGTGAATTAATGAATTTGGAATGCGTAGTTTGTTTTTTATAGAGACACTGCCCACCTAGACTGGCCTTTGCTGTTTGTGGGTAGTGGGAAAATAAAATTGTAAATTTGGATAAACCAATAAAAATGACTGAATGAATGAATGAATCTCACGAGCTATTCTGATGTCTCACGTGTATAGCCGCACATACTAAATTGATCTTATTTTTGCTGTCAGATGATCCTAGAATAGCAAAGCGTCCCACTTTGAGGTTAAATAACCCTCAAGTCTGAATTGCCTTGTCATAGTAGATTAATCTCTCCACTGGAAGTTTTGTCCAGGATTAAGCTTTTTGTTTCTCAACTTTCATCTTCTTCTCAGCCAATTTTCTTTCCGCCAATTCTTTCTGTAGTGCAGGGGCCAGTTTCGGGAGAAGACCTATCAAATAAATATGTAATCATAAAAATGACTGTCTCACAGTATCCTTTTCATAAAAATTTGTCTTTCAGACATTGCGTTGCAGTTTATGTGTATCTAAGTTACAATACAATGTCCAACTAGGTGATGCCTCAAAATAACACACAAAATTCAAATGGCTGCAAAAAATATCCATTTAAAAAGCTTGTGATTAAAAAATGTGTAAGCTACCAATATTAAGGATCCTTTGGAAATCTTTGCATTCCAGAGATTGGCTGATGATTTCATTTTTCACTGGCGCTGCTCTTAACAGACAAGGGTTCTATAATTCATTGTTCTTGTATCAACATTTCAAAGCCACAATCTTTCAGTGGTGGGATTTAGCCCTAAAAGGGTGTCTGAAGGTGAAAGTACAGGCCAAGAAGTCCAAGAAGTGGTAGTGGTAGTGGTAGTGTTAGTGGTACACAAACTGCAGTTGGTAAAAAATTTTGCTAGATGTCAGAGATGTCAGATGTCTCTCCGTGGTTACTGAAAATAAGAAAAGTTTGGAACAGGATGCACCTAAGAGTCTTTTGCCCTGAAAACTCCCCCTTAGATTTCATTTGACATTGTATTACTGCGGGGGGAAGAAAAATCCTTAGAATGAAAGCATGGAAATAGTTGAGCAGTTCAAAAGATGGATCCAGGCAAGTATACATATTAGAACAAACACGCTCCTACCATGAACAGGGACGAGGAGCATACCAGCTATCTCCTATATGGACCCAAGTGATTTCCACCCCCAATCAGGGGGGAAGGGTGGCCTTGACAGAATACTGATTATTTATGTTGCAATTAACACCTTCAGAAGCCTATTTAGGGCTACTGACAGTTGTGGCGGTTTTAGTTTCGATAAAGATTGCCGTCAGTCATTGGGGTATGCTTTAAGAACATTTGAATAGAGATCTCAACTTACATCAAACTTCCAAAATCTGTCCCTGTCTTAGGGTTGCTTTTTTCAAGAAACTACTTAGGTCTATGCTTTCTTTGCCATTAAACAGAGTTGCTGCTAATTATTTCAATTTGCCAATTATATTTTCTTGGAGTGTGAATTGCTGGTTTCTCTAGTCTAGACTAAAATCTACAGCCAACTGATCAGTTTCCTGCAAAATGGTACCCCATTCTAGACCCAAATTCTCTGACTTCTATACCCTGTCACACACTGAATTGCTTGAAAACCATACCCTTCACAGTGGAACATACCAGCCTATTTAGTGCCAAAACATGTGTTGCCAAGTGAATTGTTTACCTAATCTCTGTGATATCTTGATTGCTTTCTCTAACTTTCGCTGCTGTTTTCTGCAAACACCTTTTTAAGAAAGGAATGTGAATGATAAAGAATTTTAGAGTAATAAACTGTGTTTTTCATGCTTCATTTAAATTTATCACATGATACATAATACCCTGCTAAACTACAGCCCCTGTCCATGGCTGCAAAAACTGTCAATATTCTTGCCTTAAGTTACATGTACAGTTGAATCCTGCAAAGTTCTGTATCCTTACAAAACGTTTTGGATTTCTGCACGAGGGTATGAAAGTTACAATGACAAGACCCCAATGCTACTTTTATACAAAATAAAATGACCATTAACACTAATTTACAACATTCACTAAACGAAATTATGAAACATATTTACACCCATTAAACTAAGTACCGTATTTATTCGATTAACCGCCCTGGGCGCTTATTGAATTTTTGGACCTTGAGAGTGGGCGCTTATTCGAGGTGGGCGCTTATTCGAGGCTGGGCGCTTATTAAATTTTCAACATTTTCAGCAAGTGTAGTATGTGTATTTTCCAACAAAACAATAAATGGTAATAACAGAACGCGAAGATGTAACAAAGCAAGGTTCCTGTAAAATACTTTGAAGAAAACTCCGTCTTCGAGGAAGTCTCTTATTAGTATTTATTTAATTTTAGGGGTGGTCGCTAATTTGAGTTTGAGTGGGAGTGGGAGGAAGGTGTGGTGGGGTGGGCGCTTATTCGAGGCTGGGCGCTTATTACCTTTTTCTGCCTTTAGGATGGGCGCTTATTCGAGGTGGGCGCTAATTCGAGGTTGGGCGCTTATTCGAGGTTGGGCGCTTATTCGAATAAATACGGTAAGCTCATAACCAAAAAAAATTACTTTAAGGGTGCATTCGATTGATCATATTCTGGAATAATACCAGAAGTTTTGAGGCAAATATCTTGTACTGTGATTTTTGGGCCACTTAAATGCTTCATACCTTCAGTTGGAATATTTTACTTCAGACAGATTTCTAGCTATTGCAAAGCAATAAAAGCCAAAAGAGTGATTTTTAGAATTCTTATTCCAGAATACGGTCAATCGAACATGCTCTAAGTTACCACCAATGCCATGACTCTTACAGTTTTGGTAGCTCAAAGCACCCAAGCGTAACATACATCTATTTTTTTTTAAAAAAATGTCTTTTTTTCTTGAAGTTTTAGTTAGGGTTTACTACTCTTGGGGTGAGAGGACTAAGGACAAGACACGACATGAACTTTATTTTCATACCACACTCAGAAAAAAAAAGAGAGGAAACAAGACAATACCACTTATGTAAGGTATAAGCCACCTAGAAAATAAATAAAATGCTAATCTAGCTAGGAGGCATTATAGACTATTTTAAAAGATAAAAGAGGTTCTTACATGGAGGTACAAGTATAAAATAATGTTTGTAAAGAAAAAAAAATCCAAACAACGGCTAAACCCTGAAGAAATCTGGTTTAATTTGAAACTTGTAAAGAAATTTTAACCAAAGTTGATCAGTTAAATTTGTTCCAATAACAAATGAATTTTTTTCACAAATTACGGTGTGACTTAACTATAACTGGGGCCACCTAGACAAAGTTGACCAATCAGATTAAAGGAAAATAACAATGCATTTCGAGAAAGTTAGTTGTCAATCATAATTACCAAATTACCAAATAAACAACAAGGATCAAAATCAACCAATTACACCCTACAGACGTGACCTTTTGAACCTGCTAAAGAAAGCATGTGTTTCCCGCGAGGACCGTTAGAGTGAATGATGGAGGCAAAAAACGTAAACAATCGTTATATTTGTTGCTTGTGGTCGCATGTTATTGCAAACCGCAGCAAAAGTAGCAAAGAAATTCCTGGTAGATGACAAAATAACAGCCTGTATCAAAGAAATATGTCTCCTGGGCATCGTATGCAAAGTTTTGAATAGAGAAACATTGTCAGGTGAAACATTTTGCTTTCCTTGCTATCAATATTAACTTTGTGCTTTGCGTAACTTATTGCTTTTTTACAAGCTGCTGATTGGCCCACAACCAACTTTCTTGGAATGTATTGTTATTTTCCTGTAATCTGATTGGTCAACTTTGTCTAAGTGGGCCCAGTATTTGCACTGTAACAAATGATGGAACAGAATCTTAATTCTGAAGTGTTATCTTGTTAGAAATAAACCATAAACCCTTCTCAGCATCAGCCCTAGTAAAGGTGACTGGTTTTTGCTTGGAAACTGTTGCAAGTAAAATGGTTAAGAAAAGTTGTAAAAAATGGAAAGTGATCAAACTCAAAAATTATTGTGGAACTAATGACTGTGAAAAAAGTAGCAGGTTTCAAAGACAGATAAGACATAATTATGTACCTGTTTCTCTTTGATTGAGAATGTATCCTCTTGGTGACATAAATTGTGACAAAAATAGCACATCCTATGGGACAAGAATAAATTAGTACACAGTGACTAATACCATTGTTACTATTATTATTATTATTGCTATTATCTTTATTACTATTATTATTGTTGTTGTAGTTGTTGTTATCATTATTCATTCTCTAGTGGTGTAAAGATTAATCGAATTCTCGATTAATCGCGATTATTACTGTTCGGTTTGATTGACGATTCTTTGCTTCCAAGTTTCGATTTTGGTTCAATTATTGCACACCTTTTCCAGGGTGCCTTTAGCGAGTTATTAGATTGTAAAATCGGAATCCAGAACGCTTTAAATTGTGCATGCATGATTGACGAGCAAAGATGATAGAATTTTGGGTGCCATTTTGTGTTGCCTGGTAAAAATGCTGTCCTTCAACCAACCCATGAGAATTTCCAAATAAGGCAAACTATGTGCGACCCACTTTTTGTCAGGTTCTCAAACATGGCGATGAATCAAGCGACTGTGAATCCTCATGTCCCTGCTACTATTCTCAAATTGAGGGTTTAGGGTTGTATGTATTATTATTATAAGAATTAAGAAACATTTACATAATCGAATCAAAATAATCGAAAGGCAATAATCAAAATCGAAACAAACCACAAGGAATATGAATCGTTACACCCCTATCATTCTCATCAACTAGGATTCCTTTGTCCTTGGGAGGAGGGACCAAATCATGACTAAGGTTCTCTCTCACTGCTTGATTGATATTACTCTCTGCAAGATGTGAGCTGTTTCTTTGAATGTTGTCTTTTGGAATTTATTATTATTACTTCATATTGCTATTAGCAATATTATTATTCTAACTTACTTTGTAAGTAAATGTGATATCTCTACTGCAGATTGGGCAGCCTACATCTGCTTTGTTTATTTTCTCCTCTGTGAGAATGGAAGCCTTGATTCCTAGAGAAAATTATTGTAGAAAATATAATAAAATAGCTTCCCTGTTCTAGGAAATGTCTTGAACTTTGACACCACCTTCTGGGTAGAGCCCCAACACTTACACATTTATGCACTGCCACAATTAATAAATAAATAATAATTTTGTTGATAACATAATAAACTTCACAGAATAGAACGACACAACAATGGTGCTAATCTATTGACTTACTATATCGAGCATCCCCTAAATGAGAACTGCTTATTCAGACATATTTCACATTGCTACCATTAACTTTCGATCAATTAAAAAATAACTAAAACCAGCCAGATCAAAAGTTCAGCTGAGAGTACTCATGCACTACTGACCTCTAGATCGCGTTTTCATCGTTTTTTGACCGTAATTTACTTGCAGACAATCGTAATAAAATCGTACTTTGAAGTACGATCTAATTACAGGCAAATTACGACGAACGTTCTTGCGTAAAAGAATCGTAACTTGCCCTTGTTTGATTTACGAATTAAATTCGAGAATTAATATTATCGTAATATTGTCGTATACAAAATGCGATCAAATTGCCGTCAAATTACGACCAGCGTCCGAGCGTAAAAGGATCGTATTTGCTCTTGTTCAATATACGAGTTAAATTCGAGAATTAATATTATCGTTATATCGTCGTAAACACAATGCGATCTAACAACAGGCAGATTACGGCCAACGTCGGTCCGTAAATAAATCGCAATTTTCCCTCGTTCAATATACGAGTCAAATTCGATTATTGATATTATCGTAATATTGTCTAATTACACACATGCAGTGCGATTATATTCCAAGATGATTGCCATAACGTAAATACATCGCACTTTCATCTTATTTACGACTCAAAAAGTGTATTGTACTAGCTAGTTTCTTACATTTTTATTGTACAATCTTAGTACGTGTTGTTGTAAACCTGTAGCATTTCTGGCAGAGATGTAATAATTATAGGAATAAACCCAGCAAGTAAAGCTTCAGAACGTCTGCGAACACAACACATTTTCGAGAGTGAGCGCCCTTACCTGTTCAACTACGAAGTGTCACGCAATGCGATGCAGGAAAGCGTCGTCACCGAACATCTCAACTTAAATACTGTTCAAAAGCTTATATTTTTTAATAATACAATGCTGTTGAAAGTGAGTGGAAAATGTAGTTCCTTCGAAGTAAAAGCAGCACACCGGAACCAGAAAGCACACATTTCATTTGCTGAGTTTGGAAAAGTATTAAAACCGCCAAGTTATTCGGCACAATTGTGAACGTTTGGTCAACCCGAGTGGTAACGACCACTTGAGTAACGACGTACCCGAAAATCTTATGTAAAGGTTCCGAGCGGATCATCAGGTGATCTTAGGTGAGTAGGGCAGGATTTTATTAAATCTTTACATCCCCCGTTCCGCCAAGGTCCCTTGCCCCCATACCGATGGGCGATCGAGACCGCTATGGCTACTCGTGTTCCTACAGTAAATCAGCTAAATAGCTAGCTACCATTACTACAAAACATTTTGGTTCAAACAAGAAACCCCTTTTAGAAACACATTACATCGAGGTGATCAACAAAGAAGAGCTACTCTGCTTGGCAGACGAGAAAACCACAAACCAATGAGATGCCTAACATATTGTCACGTGTCAACTCTTGTTGCGCTTACCGCCACATTTTCGCGCGCCGTTTACTCAACATTTTAAACGAGAAAGCAAGGAGAACGAAAGGCAAAAGGACTGCTATAAAAGGCTAATGTTTTGGTGAGTTATTTAATAATCTTTAAATTTCTTTCCCAAATAAGTAAGTCTACTTCGTTTTAACAGGTGTAATAGAAAACCTCGAATTAAAAATGTTACCTTAACTGAATTTAACAGTGGCAACATTTTATTTATTACACGTGTTCTTGAGCTGTAGTTTAAGCTTTGGCATTTAAAAAGAAGTGAAACAGTGTTAATACGTTTCCATGGCTTTTGAATATGTATGGCCTTTTGTACGTTTAATCTGCTTTCTATTTTTCAGAGAGAAGTAATATAAAATGGCGTATACCAGGACGCGTATACTGTATAATAAAAAGTTTACTACAGACAAACATGATTTATGAAAGCGGTCGGTTACAGAGTGAGTGTTAAAAAACCCAAAATATTCGTATTACATTTAACCGTCTACGTTCTAATTAAATTAGTTTGATTGAAATCAATGCTATAATCTTGACGCTTTAGTCAACGAGTGTGTGGAAACTTCACCTGTGGCGACTAACGGCGAAAAGGGCGAAAATTGCATGATGTTGCCAGTGTAACTGTAAACAAGAGAGGTGCAAAGATTCGCAGAAACTGCTCGAGCAGTTCGCTTCGCGCGATTCAGCCTGGATTACAGATATTACAGATTTTATGTTTGACTCATTTAGTCTCAAATATGATCTGATTCGTTCACCGTATTAAAAATCCCTAGCCCAAAATTCGGAGAAGGGACCCTTCTCCGAATTTTTCTTGGGGAGGGGGTCGCACACGGGCTAGACAATGGAAATCCACCCTTAGAGAGTACGCAAGGTAGAAAAAGATATTGATTAGTATTGATTTGCATTTTAGGTTCAGACAGACGCTTCAACTTTGCGATACAAAGTAGACTAGCTAAGCAAAGGGATTTCAAAGAGCTTATGCCGGATATAATATAAACAGTAACCTTATGATGCAATTTATTTAATTTCAGTTGAGTATGACGCGCGACATTAAAAGACACCAGGATCCGATTCTGCCGTCGTCCAGTGCAAATTCATTCATGTGCTTGATTCTCTGTGGCTAATCTTAGTAGTAATACTGGCTACCTTGTCACACAGCCAATCAGAATCGCGTATTTCAAACACGTGATCGCTCTCGACCAATCAGAAGGCTGGATTTAATTACCCCAGAAAAGTTGCGTCATACCAAGTGGTACGTCATGTAAGACATCACGAAAAGTTCCCCAACATTCCCCGTTCATGTAATAGCACACCAAATGTCACTTTTCAACTCATTTTATTCTGACGTCATTCCTTATTTTACAAGCGGGACGTGTGTGACCTCCTATTGACGTCACGCCCATTTCGTTTTAAAAAGTTTAAAAAGTCATCAAAAAAATGGCCGGGAAAGCGGTGGTTCGGTGGCCATCGCCGGTACTGGCAAGAATTTCTCGCTTTCGGCCGATGAGTCCAGCCAGCCAGGTGGGACTCGAGACTTACAGGTTCGAATCCTGTCGGGAACGTTTTTTTTTGTGTGTGTGTGTTGACAGAGTGCGACGCACAAAATGTAGATATTTTATTAGATTTGTAAATAATAAAAAAAATTAAAATATTTTGTTGTAATCTTAGCTTGAACAAATTGTTCATTTCCAATAAGGCATCAGGATAATCGTAGATATTGCGTAATAATGGCAGTTCTGCTGATCAACGTGGGTTTCATAATCTGCTTCTCCATCATTTCCTCCCCGGCATAGTAAATCGAACGTTCGAAAATCGAACTCAATCGAACTCAATCGAACTCAATCCGTGGATTGAGTTCGGCAATCGAACGAAATCGAACACCACACTTTCAGTGAGTTCGATTTCCGAACAAATCGAATTCAATCGAACAAATCGAACTCAATCGAACTCAATCCGTCTGATTGTGTTCGATTGTGTTCGGAAACCGTTCTCAATCGAACACAATTAAATGGATTTCGTTCGATTGGGTTTGGTGAACCTATACAAAGCAAGCCCAAAGCAAGCCCGTCAAAGCAATTTTTTCTTGCGCTTTTTTTACTATTTATTCACGAGTTCCTTTACAGTATACATTCAATGCTTCGGCTCGCCGTGTTGAAAACTTTAGGATAATTGGGACATTGATACCACCTCCTCTTTGCCAGCGACCTTTAGGATCATCAAATGGTGGCCCACAGACCCTACTAAAGGTGAAAAGTATGTATAAGTTTTGCTTCCCCTGTTTTTCATAAGGGTTGCACAATATTAACTACTTGAGGCAAATTAATATATTCACGAATCCCTTACAAACATCTTCACTTACCAAGTTATCGAAGCATTTACAGGCCACAGGGAAGCAACCAGTTCACGTTGAAGGTGACCTCAGTTGT